AAAAAAAAAAAAAAACAACATTTTTCCATTATTTGAAGGAAAAATTCATTTGTAGGATGGTTGAGTGAATTTTTGCAACAGTTGTTGTAGCATGTTTCTAAAAATGAAATTCGACTTTAGGTAAAATAAGAAAATAAACGAACTCTTTAAATGCAATTTGGAAAAATGTTCTTAACCGTTCTAATCGTTTCAACAGAGAGAAAAGGAGAGAGGCTCGCACATATCTTACATGTTCCGATTGCCTTTCGCGGCTGGCAGTGTCTTCAGTGCCTCCATGCTCGATACGCTTCTTTATCAAGCGTTCGTGAAAGACTACATGATAACGTTCGTGAGATTGCTACTGGGTGTGGATCAAGCGCCAGGATCTGGATTTTTAACATCGGTAAAAAATTTGAAAATATCTTTCCACTTTCGCCCCTTGCTTTCCAATCGAAATGTCTATACAGTTGGTCACAAAAAAATAAAATGAAAATCTATCTGTATATAGCTTACATGTAGATGTAGTTTAATAATTGGCAAACAAAGATTGCACATTTCGCAAAGATTAATTAAAAAATTTCTATTCGTGTATACTGTTCAATTTTCATTAAAAGGAAAGAAATTTATTAGAATTATCATTGAATTAAATGAAAGTCTACTTGTGATAAAGATTTCTTACTTTACTATACAATAATTATTATAATTTAATAATTGAGAAACAAAGATTGCAGAGTATTTCATCAATTAAAAAATTTCTACAAATGTTAATTTTTCATCAAAAAAGGGGATTAATTAGAAATTGAATTATTATTGAATAAAATGAAAATCTATTTTTGATAAAGATTTCTTATTTCACTAAACAGTAATTTAATATTTGGGGGGGGGGGGAAATTACGTATTGCAGAGTACTTCACAAATATCAATTAAAAAATTCCCACATATGAACACTGTTCATTTTTCATGAAAAAGAAAAGAGATTAATTACAAGTTTAATTATCACAAAAATTTCGAGAAATACAAATAATTGCTCAACCTTTCCCTATTAATTGATAGTTATATTGACCGAGCCGAAGCAACACTTAACCAGCGCAATTACCTCGCACGCATTTCGCGATAATTTCTGCTTCCAATTAACTTTAATCGCCCCAATAATTAGTCGCATGTTCCAAGTTCATCTAATTACATCCTCACCTCTAATTACCTGATACATTTTAATTTTCCGCAAAGCAAAAACAAAGAAAAAAAAGAAAAAGAAGGAAAAGAAACTCCAGCCTTAAAATTAGCCTCGTCGTCCGCTTAATTGCAGATGAGAATCACGAAGGACGACATGTGGATCAGAACGTACGGCAGATTGTATCAAAAACTGTGCTCCACTACCTGCGAAATTCCTATCGGTATTTACAGAACGCAGGACACCACCGTCTCGGACACG